TTAGATACCATGGTTGGTGGCGGTTTTTCAGAACCACGGTTCTCTGAAACCGCGCTGCGCGCATTCATAACATCGGTTCTGAATACCGCGGTGTTCAACAGTTTCTAAAACATCTAAATAATTACCAGTAATCCGGTGGTAAGTAGCACGATATGTCATCGAATAACCACGTTTTCTCAGCTGAAAACCACGGGATGTCTGCTGCTTGTAACACTATGACGGCATGTGTAAGGGCAAAGAGGATCTCGTGTTCGTCTATTTTCATACAATTCGTGAATAAGTTTTCATATTCTATCTCTGACTGTAAAGTAACTTTGTGGTGATGGAACTTCAAATAGTTTAGTACAGTGTCCCTCGACGGGTAGCTCACCTGAACATTTTTCGAAGATCAGGTTAGTCTGGTCACGCTTGAGTCAGATGCGGCTATAGAAACCGCAATTTCAGAAAACCATCGAAGTCAGACCTCTCATTCGGTTTTTTGAAACCGAAGAATTGAAAGTAGTGGCTCGGAGCAAGAATTTGATGCTCTTCCTAAATATATCTTTTGAGTTTTACTCAGATTTACGGTTAGTTAGCTGTAATCATATATCTGGATATAGAAAAAATATCGTTTGCAATAGGCTGTTTTCTTGTTGTTCGTAAGTTCTCTAAGGGTGTTATCGGATAATTTCTCTTTCCTATTCTGATGATTTGCAATGATATATAGGGAGGAAAGCAAAGTGGGGATTTTGTAGAGCAGTCATTCTTTGACCAACTGGTATACAATAAAACTTTCGTATAACTAGAATTGAGGCAGCTTTAATCAAAACACAAAAATGTAGTACACGAAAAATTCTGTACAAATGTCTTTTTCGACTCCCACCAAAGATTTGTTCCCGATGAATCAGGTTTAAATCAGAAAAAGTTTCTGGATCTATATATAAAAAGAGCATGAAATAGTCATTCTAGCGAACTACTTTTAATTGTCTCCCGCAGCTTATAAGTTGACGAAAATCAAAGAAAGACTTTGTGCAAAGACTTTTACACGCAGGTTATTTATGCCATTCATCAAAGTAATGTTTATTTGTGTGATATAGAATATGATGCAAATCATCAAAATGAACTAAAACAAGAAATTTATCCAACAACTTCAATTTATTCAATAGTTGTATAACTCAGAAAATACTAATAATTGATAAGAAGAAAAGATGTCGTAGAATTGATTTATTATTCGATTTACTTACTACTTGTCCTATATTTGTTTCTTGCGTAAATAACTCGTTCTACATTGACTCTCAGTTTGTCTCTTCTTCCATCTTCTTTCCTAGATAGTCTAATTTACGTTTAATATAAAATTTTCATGTTCGATTTCGATCGTTTTTTTTCTTGGCATTTTGTATGATGCTCAGTTAGTAGTCAAGTGAGCTCAAACTGTGAGGACTCAACTACTCAAAAATCTTATAGTATGCTATAATTCTGTCTAGTTCTTCATATTGTTTTTTCATTATCAATAAAGATATTTAATGTCAAACTTTCATATTTTATCTAATCTACTTCACTAGTAATAATTTAGAGAATAATTAGAAAAGCGGTCATCCGAGAGACAAGTTGAAGCTAATAGACAAATATGAGACGAACCATGGAAGGCATGAAGGATCCTTATTGTTCTGATGGTTTATAATTGCGCTTGGTTCCACTAGCAAAGTTGTGGTCTTAAAACGTACGAAATTCTGACAAAGCAGGAGAAGATGTCAAAATCAGAAGGACCGACAAAAAATCAGATAAATATTCACATTTCAGAAACTTTCTCTTTTTCTCAGAAGATCTAGCAACCGTGCATATATCCATAAGTTCATCCTAAATATCGAGTTAAACTAGCTATCAAAAAAGAGCTGAATATAAGTTTTGGAATGAAGTAGATCGACCAATCCGACCTAATCCTCAATGTCCAAATAAGAAAAGATAGAGAAGATCGATCACAGCAAGTTGATCTTGATCGTACAAGGTACTATAAAAAAGGAGGACTAGTTAAATAATATGCCTCAATAACACCATTGATTAGGAAACGTTTATCCATAATAAATATTTCAGCTAAAGAAAAAGAAAGAACTGAATGCCAATTGTACCACATATATATCAAGAATCATAACTGCATCCAATAGATAAAATTTAATAAAAGAAAAGAGAATAACTGCAGATGATTTCTCGAATAACAAATGTGCTAAGTGCAAATTTATCTATTTATAGAGAGTGAAAAAAAAACAAAATCTTCATTATATTCCTGTGTTTATTGCGATTTTCATTTTATGCACATTGTTTTGACTGAAGAAATTTTAATTGATAAACTCTATTTTCTGGTTTATAGGTTTGATTCACGAAATTTTCGACTGGGGTCTGCATTTCTTTAAGACTTTTGGCTCGGACTTCGATTGAATTCATAGATTTCCTAAAAAACAAGCTGAGTTATTTGACTATTTGCTAGATATCATACTACCGAGCAGGACAACGTAACACCCAGCAATCAACCGGTTTTATCACTGTTAGAAATGGTATGGTGTTTTGAGATACTAGTTATTTCTTTGCAACAAGTTCCAACATAAAAAGAAGCGTGGTCTCAATAAAACTTCGAATGATACTCTTCCTTTAGACTTGAGACTACGCGTGTCGATTGATGTCTGTGGTTGTCAGTCTTCTCCTTGTCCTGAACACCAGCACCCCCGTCACATCAACCCACATTTAACGTCATTTTTTTCAGCATTATGTCGTTCAGCTCGGCACTGCGTTATCTAGCAAGTAGTTAAATAAATTAGATTACTTTTTTTTAGAAGTCAGTGTATTCAATTGAAGTTTGAACCAAAGTTTTCGTACGCTGAAATTTTGGTCTTCCCTCTTTTCTCAATCAACCATCAGTTGTTTTGTATTTGATAGTGTTGATAAATCTAGTTTTTGAATTTGTACTAATGATCCCGAGTAAGTTCATTAATTCGACTTTTATATATTATTGAGATAAAGATATCTTTCCTGAGAAGATTCAACATCGAATAGTCATGATATTAATTTCTATATACACAGAGTTCAATATTAAATAGTTACATTAAAACTACATGAATCGCTTCAATGCGTTTAGAGTCATTTTTTAAGAACAATTCAAAATATAAGAATATATTGAAAGAACTGTTTTTTTTCCTGTGCACAATAATGCTATTTTCTAAAATTTTAATTCTTTTCTCTCCAAAGTTTGATTTATTTTCTAGTTATAGCTACAATCTATAATTAAATACAATAAACAAGAACAGCATACAGTATACATATACAACATAAACAATATGATTGACTTTTAATTGTGATGGTGTTTCTGATTCAATATTGTTTGTGTTGCTTTTTTCCCAAGGCTTATTTACCAAAATTTGTAAAAGAAAAAAATAAATACCAAACAATGAAAAAATGGTGCACCACATAATTGTATTCACACCGGACACTTGATTAAGCATGTATCCACCTAAGAGGCAGACGATTAGACCAACAAAAATCGATTCGATCCAACGAAATGGATGATTACTAACTACAAGAAAAAAAAACAAAAATTACTCTGAAAAGGCATACGAGGTCACTAAAACATTTCCATTAAACGCATTTTATAGGAGTACAACGATGAGACATAAAGCTTGACGTCCTTAAGGAGAATATCAAAAAAAGAACTTAGTTGACTCTCAGAGCGGTAGAAACATTTATTACACTGACAAGTAGTCAAGTGTACGTTAAAGAGAAAACCAATAATGACCAGCATATATTGTCCCTATTCAGAAGAACCAAGGCATTTAAACATCAACTTCAATAAGAATCTCAATATCAAAAAAGAGGAAAAAACCAGATATATGACTTACAATCTCCTATTTGAATTGATTTTGAAGATGTTCAGATGCACGTAATTCACAATAACAGAAAATATGAATTTCGACAAAAATAAAAACTTTCATGCTCGAATAGTCAATGAAAGGAAGACTATTAGCAAAATTTAAATGGTATCAAATTATTTCGGAATGAATTGTAAATAAACGTGGTGTTTTTTTTCTATCTTTTAAAAAATCTTACATGGCTCACAACAAAAACAGTTGAAGCAAGAAATGATAGAGAATTTATGGTTCTAGAGAAATGCAGATCTTCGAAGAAAGAAAAGTTACGGCTTCATATGCGACCACTAGAAAGAATAGTATTACAATTTTGATTTCTATGATAGTTTCTTTCTATTTTTTTTTAAATTAAGCGATTTATGAATTTAAAGTTTTTGAGCCAATTGAATCGTATATTCTACAGAGCTTAATCAGGTCTCATTCGAAAACTATAAATTGTGCTCTATGAAATATTTTAGAATTCAAACTCAAAGCCTATACTACATATGAGACTTGTATTATATTACTAATACAATGTACTACTAAATATTGCTATATTCATTAGAAGCATACTAAGATGAATTGTTTCAAGAAAAAATCTATAATATATTGTTCAAATTTTAAAACTATTTTCATTGACGATCTTATTAACTGAAAAAGAAAACGTAATATATCGTTTTCCAATAATTAATATTAATTATTAAAATTAATAACATTCAAAGAATACTTTTTATCAGAATCTGATCCAATAAAGGCTGCATCCAATGATACATAAAAGATTTTTCAAACAATCATTTAAGAGAGAAAATCGAATGAAATATTCAATATGTTTTACATTTTAGACAGATGAAAACAAAAGATTTCTTGAATTAAAAAAACAAAAAAATCTATTCTTCAGAAATGGAACCATACAAGTATCCTATTTCATTGTCAGAGCTATTGAAATCAATATTTGAATGTCATTATCGAGTTGTCATTCAAAGAAAAAATTTAAAAATAAATAAAATGCCATGTAAACTTCTAATTCCCATTTTACATATATTCACACAGAAACATGAATTTTACTCTTCTTACTATTTTGATCTATATTAATATTAAACGAAATAATTATAACTTACGAATTCCAAAAAACTAATTTTTCTTTTTCTTTTCATTATATGTTGGTTTTAAATCCTTTTGAGCTAATTCTTCATTATTTTCTTGTCGAAATATGTGTAATAATGATTCTTCAGTATTCGATTGATCAGCATTTGCTACAATTGATGATGGTAATTCTTCATTCTGTTAAAAAAATATCTCATTTGGAAATGCAGAGATTTACTTTTACGAAGATTTATGGTGGACAAGAATAATTATTTCTCCTTACCCAGGTCTATGGCTACGGCTATCCGTATTTTCACCGTAAATTTGCTTCATACGACACCGTAAACGGACCGTATTTTCTCGTAATCATGGGCACAGTAATACGGCACCGTACACGAGGTCGTATTTTCACAGTATACGGCCGTATACAGGGCATAATCTCATTATGATAAGGCCGTATTTCTGTGTCCGATATTACGGCTGTATATGGTCTGCTTATGCGTCGTAAGGTAACCGTAAACGGTCGTTTACGGACCGTATCGTTCGACCTGGATACCGAAGTATTTTTTGATGTATTATATAGTTTTTTCTAGAAAGAAAAGGTGCAATAAAATTTTAGAACATTGATTTGTTTCCACTCACTCGAATTGCATTTAATTCTTCAAGTAGACGAGTATCAGCCGGATTAGCAATAATCCTTTTAACTGTCTATAAATATTTAATAAAACGAATTTTCCCGATGATAATCAGCATATTTTAGAAAAATTATTTTAAACCTACTTTTAAAAAATCAGCTTCTACTTGACTTTTATTCATATTAAGAGACGACATGAATCGAATTTACCAACAGAAATAGCAGGTTAGATGATTAAGAAGAGTGTCAAATGAGTTGATTAGGATAAAAGAAGCACTATGCTTCAGGTGAAGCCAAATAAATTTATAGTAGTTTTCAATTTGAATAATATGCCAATATAATTTTTGTACAAAATTGTTTCATCGAAATATAATATATCCTTGTATATGTTATTGTTATAACCAAACTGTCAGAAAATCTATAGATGAAACTTTTCTATGTAATCTAGAAAAATGGAATAATGTTCATTTTATCATCCGATGAAAGATGTATAACAATTACATAATATTAAACCAGCAAGAAAAATTCATAGAGTTTGTTGTTAAACTGAAAAGAGAACGAAATTGTTTGGGTACTTATACATGATATGCACCGCTCATCACAATGACAAGAAAGAAAAAAAAGTCAATTGGCGCATTGGATAACCGAATAAATAGTAGGTCATAAGGCCTCAATCACATTGAACAAGTTAAAACTGAATTAACCAATGAAATCGCTAGAAACGTTAAAACACAGGTCGAGATAAGCTACATTCACACGCTACATATAAAATGTATGTAGCTTATCCTTAGTCGTTTGAGCCAATGGAATTACGTTCCAGCTTTTACTCTTTTCTTTCCATGATTTGTTTGACGTATATGTGTGAAAGGAATGTATATGATCAAATTCATATAAAAAAAACTTATTATTTTTATTTTTGAAATAATAAATAATCGAAATCTTTAAAAGAAATAAAAATTTATAATAAATTCAATCGACTATTCTATTTTTTGATCATAAAACATTTAAAAATATGTTTGAAAAATATATGAATTTATTTATAATGATGTGAGAAAATCATCGATAGAACTTTAGTTGAAAATAAACTAATTTCTTTTGTTAAAAAAAAATATTAGTTTGATTTTTTCATTATCTGTCAATATTGAGTTTTTTTTTCTCACGATCATTTTTACTTTTCGATTCAAATAAACTTTATGCATTAGAATTAAAAACCTATGAATGAATAATTAATTTAAAAGTTTAACAGAAAAGTTTTTCAATGAGTTTGTTTTATTGTGATTGATATTCAGACGAAGTTTTAGAAATAACAAAGCATTTCAATCAATCATCTTTGATGTTTCTCATAGAAATACTGCTAACCGACGAGTCATTTTCAGAGTAATGACATACAAAAACATGTTTTCCTTCTGAAGTACACAAACCTTGAAATCCTCACGTAAAAAATGGATAGTGTTAAAACCAATGTGCCACATTTAATGACAGAAAAATTTTGAGTACAAAAATGTCTTAAAAAATGATTTATGCGAGAGAAAACTTCTCGGTTTATACAATATGAGTTGTCACTGCATCAAATAATATTACTAAACCTTGAATATAAATATAATCAGCTTCAAATTAAATATTGAACATAAATATAGTCAATGAGAGTAACACTATCATCACTTTATCGATAATCTCTATGCATTAACTATGCGATTTGAATTCTAAAAAAAATGAATTGCCGAAAGCATTCATCAATGACATGATGAAATCTATGTTATTTGACAATATACATGATTTCATGTTATATCTCAAAACATATCAGCTGGTTCTAAATTTTTTTTTATCTCATGATATTCTAATAAAAAATACATAATTCGAAGATACGTGAAAAACTGAATATGATGATCTAATTTTGAGAAAAAGGTACTCCCAAGTCTCCAGCAAAAATTTTTAAAAATCATTTCACAGGCAAAGTACTTGAGATATATATATTTCTTTCTATCTTTTTCTCTCGATGATCTATATTTTTTCGTTCCGTGTATATATTGTTATCGAAGTTTTGACAGAGTACTTACTAAAGATACTTAAAGGCATTTGAGTACAGTTTTAGTTCTTATTTGTGATTTAAAGAAGACTTTTAAAGTACAATTTACCTTGGTTTGAAATAAGTATCTACTGATTGCAACTATATTAATGGAGTAAAACTCAATTAGTAGTCTAACAATTGAAACGATACGATTTTTTATTTGAAATCAAAACTAAAGTTATATACTGATATTGAACGATTTAATTGAAACAATTATCATTCTTTTTTTTGGAAATTCTTTTCAAAACTAATCAATTTCCTTTGACCATAGTTATTTGATTTGTTTAGATGGTTGCTAAACGATTACTGATTATATATAAGTCAATCAATGTTGTCGCTTCTTTCTTATGTGCACGTGCGTTGGTTTTCTTATACGTTACGAAAAAAAACCAGCAAAGATATGACATGTGATTTATCAAATAATTTGTGTTTTTGAGAATAGTACTTCAAAGAATTTCGTTTAAGATTTAAAATAATCACGAAACTCAGTTCAATATACTATCTCAAATATAATTATGTTACGCTAATCATAACTCAGAAACGTTCCAGCATATTTAGACTTAATTGTAATCACATCATCAAACTTATTAATTGATCTAATAAAAATCAAACACTTAAAATCTTTAAGACAAACGACTCAACTCAGAGTGACGCAAATGATCCAGAAAATGGATGAACATAAGAAATAAAAGCCAAACTGAACTATTTTAAATATTATTAATAATTAGTTTTTGGAAGAGAAAATTCATTTTTTCTCTGCCAAATGAAAGACTTTCAAACCAATCTATGTAGTTTTGATGAAATCTGTAGCCACAAAAATTTACAAACTTTTAGTATTCATTGACGAAAACTTCAAGACATGAGGTGAACGTATTATTCACATGAAGCATGAAAAGTTTTTCCTATAGAATTATCTTACAAGTAACGTTCGTCGGTACGACTCACTTTACCCTCGACTGAATTCATTATATTTATTCTGATTATCCTTGACAAACACATATATGATTGAGTAAACCACAATCTCTAAAGATCGGTTCTTCTCCACGAGTGAAAGATAGAAACGAAATAAATTAGAACGTATTAGCGCTCAGATTATTCCTCATTAGAATTCAAACACCTTCAATAGTTTTAGAACTTCAATCGTTTTTCGTAGATTGAGCTAAACATGACTTCCAAAGTGTTTTGTTCGCGTAATGACACAGATTGCGCCTATAGAATTAAGTCCTATGCGTGTCACCTAACTTCATAGAGTGTACGACTTTTCAGCGTGGGTTTGGAATAAAACCTTTACATGATTCAGATTTAGATCTGATGATGAATGGCTGTAGCGGATTTTACACTCACAAAGAATAAAAAACTAGAGAGGATCATACAACCTCCTAGAACTAAATGCTTTCTGATGTGTTTCAAGAGGTTCAATATTTATGTTTTAGCATAGAGAAATCCGAAGAAACGTTAACCTTTCTACAGGGTGATTGAAAACTACCTCCCTATTTTAAATTTTGTAATACTCTCAAACGACAAAAGATATCATAACGATTATTTCATTGTTTTGAAGCATGTGTCATGCTGTTTTATAGTAGATGAAACAAGCCTATTGATCATTTGACTATCTAAGATCAAGCACGAATTTCATCTCGAGAATCTCTGAAAATAACTCATTATTTTGAATAATTTATTGTTCTTATCCGACAACAAATACTATAACAAATTTTTGTACTATTTTGAACTATGCATAATACAATAAAATATAATGTCTCAAATTTCTACATAGGTTTCTCTATTGTCCGTACACTTCTGTGGTTATTATAGTATCTGTTCTTATATAAGGAAATACCAGTATTCAAAATAATGAGTTATTTTCAGAGATTCTCGAGATGAAATTCGTGCGTGATCTTAGATAGTCAAATGATCAATAGGCTTGTTTCATCTACTATAAAACAGCATGACACATGCTTCAAAACAATGAAATAATCGTTACGATATCTTTTGTCATTTGAGAGTAATAAAGAATTTAAAATAGGGAGTTACTTTTCAATCACCCTGTATTTGTTATCTAATGTTTCTTCTTACAATAAGCATAAAGGAAAACCATGTTACTTCTGCATACCAGTTATCCACAATCCAATTTTCACAATTATTATCTTTTGAGATTCAGCCACAAGACAACTGCTTTTTTCTACACGGATGCTTTTACAGTGAAAATTCGTTAAGTAACGCTTTTCGCCAAACGTGCGTTAAGAATGTTGTACATGTTGAGAATAATTCTCTCGTACAATTAATTTGAAAGAAAATTGCTTTTCGTTTTTTGCTGATTGAGGACACTATTTCAACCGGTTATACTCGATTGGTTAGTAACTGTTCTATGGATTTTGGGTCTGCCAGAAGCGTACTTTCCCTGAAGCTTTCCAATCAGCGGCTAGTCGTTCGTTGGCGTCCCTGCGCGGAGCCACTTACGTCTAGCCGTTGCCATACTTAAGTGTAATTTCCCTATTGATAATAGGGTGTGGGTGTGAAGAATTACCACAAAACTAAAGTTTTTCGAGTTTATTAAAGATTCTTATAAAGTGGCAAGTATCTATACGAATGATTCAAAAAAGGAAAAATTTTTAAACCAGGGGTGGGTGTGGGTGTGGGTATTGAGGAGGTATGGGTGGAAATAAATAAGAGACCCACACCCACACCCACACCCACACCCTGAAAATTTCTAAAGAATAATTCAGATTGGTTAGAAGAGGTACAAATAGGAAATCTTTTCTTCATTGAAACTATCAAATTTAAAAAAAATAATATTAAAACTTTTTCTTTAATATTTATTAACGAATTGTAAAATTCGAAATTATTAATTCAGAAAAATCATATTTTTTTTTATAAACTTAAAATGAATAAGTTGTGTCTCGTAAATGAAAAAATTATTAACTTTGGTGAAAAGTATACTTCTAAATAATTCTACTAAAATTTTCAATAATTATTATTAATCATATTTATTAGTTATTCCAATTTTCATTTCAAAATTATTCTTATTTCGAATAAGCTATTTAAAAAAATGTTTAGGCAACTATTCATTCTAATATAAAATATTACTTGCGTGCACAAATTGTTTGTGTAAATCTTCAAAAAAAGAACAAT